GAGTGCCACTCGCTCTGCCCAAAGCTTTAACATATGTCATGATGGTATAAGCGTTCGGCAGGAGTGGGGTCCCCTGAAATTGCGCGTCCAATCTTTTTACGCACATTACGCAGGTGCGACCTGCCTACTGAATAAGGCTGCAAATGAAGAAACTAAATTTAAACGAGCCGTGGAAATAGGCTGGTCGTCCGGGTACACATAGAATTATACGCTAACGGGTGCCCTTTCAACTATGGTTGAAACTGATATTCTGTGACCAGAGATGGTCTTGAAATGTTCGAAAATTCACGTGATGCTGCGTGAGTACGGCGCGCGCTGAAGTCTCTCAAGAGCAGTTTCATGGGAAATAGAAGGTTGACTCCGAGGATTGGGTTCCAATGTCATAGCCTCCAAGTGATACAGCAAATCAGAGGCATGATGCGTTCTGTGACGTCTTCGAACCCGCGCTCTAGGGTGAGGAATTTTAGATTTGGATCGAATCATTCGGCACATCTGGTCGCCCACGCTTCACTTATCGGGACCATGATACCTCATGTTGATGTCTTCTAGATGGGCTGATCGTTATGAGTTACACTATCATTGAGCATGTTGACCAATAATCAGGATAATATCCTGATGAGAATTCCGATCCATATGAGCTGAGCAGAACCAATAGGTACTATGATAGTACCTACTATCTACTGGTTCAGAACCTGCTCAACTCATATGAATCGTGTTCGCAGTGTGGGAAGTGACGTTCGAGATGGTAATTTACCACTGGTAAAGTATGGACGGCCCTTCGCTGCATCAACACCGGGTGTTGAACACCCTCGATTGACATAGTGTGAATCACACTATGTCAATCGAGGGTGTTGATATGACGATGTGTTTCGGACGATGAATCACACTGTGAGATTCTCAAGCTGGTTAGTTGTATAATATTTGTTACGGAATTCACATTTCTACGGCTAAATTGATTTTCCTATTGCGGTTTTCGTCCGAGCCAGATGACTCGCGAAAACCGCCTCCATTCCCCCTCATGAATATCCTTTGGGACGCTAAGATTCGTCATTAGAAGCCTTTCGACCACGTTGTTATTCTGTGAGCATCACTAAAGAAGTTTGAAATAGTGTGTCTGATGGGGCATATCGTATGTGAATTGGTTACTGATGAACGAATGAAACTTCCGGACTGAGCACGACTCTCTTACTCTTCTAGCAGCAGGCCTATCTTGATCACGCTGTCCACACAAAAAAGAGCTTGACAGAGTGAGTTGGCTGACTGGTACAACAGAACAAGAATAAATACGTTTTTCTAGCACAATGAGTGCATCTTAGTGTCTCAGAGCCTCTGAGGCACTAAGATGGCTCTGAGTCAGAGGCATTAAGAGCCATTATTCTGGTTCTACCGAGGAAACTTGCGTGCGTAATGTCAAACTTGTGCAGTATATTGTTATTCTTGATCATGGTATATTCTGGTAGTGTCAAACTTGGTTGTAATAAAATAGACAAGCGACAAACTTGGATTGTCATTGTCAATCTTGATTGTAACATGATTGAATTTCGACAAACTTGAATTTTCATTGTCAATCTTGATTGTAACATGATTGAATTTCGACAAACTTGAATTTTCATTGTCAATCTTGATCGTAACGTAATAAGATTGTGACATACTTGCATTCTCAGAATCAAACTTGCTTGTAACACCGTCATTCTTGCCTGCCCACTTGTCAAACTCGCACGGGAAAAGGTGTAGTCCTCAACCTAGTAGGGAGAGATTTAAACCGCTCCTACGTGCCAGTACGGGGCATTTTAGATACAGCGTTGAGCTCTTTGAAGCTCTTCGATATCATCTATACCAGGTGTAGATCCTGCACGGCAGGAGTAGACTTCGGAGAAGGGATGAACTGCCTCTTGATGATAATTCTAAGGAAGTCAACGACTTCTTTTACCATGAGCGAATAGACACTGGAGTGGCTCAGTGAGTTTCTGCTGTTTCTGCGGTCTCGCGTTTCATCATGCTCGGCAGAGTTACATGGTATGGCAAAAATTCTCTTGCCGAAAAAGCACATCTAGCGGTATGATACGGTGACAACTCGGCGATGTAGTTACCGCGGTACACGGTATTGAGGACTGACGTCGTCAGTTTGACGAGCCTAAGTCTGCCTTGCTCTTGTGCGCAGTCCTGTGCATGTAAGTGCCGTCGCAATTGATGGTATTTCTTATATATAGCCATTATATTGATTGACATTGATACGCTCAAGTTCAGTTTCACAGCCGTAAACTTGTCTATTCGTTGTTAATACGGTTGCAAACTGTGACGATGTTCGCGTGAAGGTGAACGATTCAGGATAAACTAACACGCTTACTTTACCGGGGGTGCATCTCCAGTATTTTCCAAACTTTTTAGATATCCTTGTTTATCGGGGAGATGCCAAATTTTCATCAAAAAACTCCTCAAAAACCGAAAAACCTCCCAGAAGTAGAGAGTCTTTGTTCTCCCGCATTGCGAAAAAGTCCGTCATCGGGGAATGTCATTACGAACAACATCAACAAAAAGCGCTCAAATACTACGATGGAAACGACATAACTATACAAAAGACTGCCAAATCGATCACGTGATCGATTATGAGTTCACAAACTGAACACTGCAGTTGTCAACCCCTCCCCAAGTCGAAGCCGTCCGCATTCCGGAGTCGTTGCTGTCCATCCACATCGCCACCATCAGTGTTCATTACAGAATTCCTGAGGAGAACCCAATCGATCACGC